AGAGTCAGTACTGTGCTAACATGCACTCTGCCGTGGAAACTGTTTTGCCAAGTACCTGCGCTGTTCAGTTAGACCGCAAGTATCTTCTGGAGCACCTGCATTCGAGTACTCCGGATCCTGGGGCAGTATGTAGCCCCACTGTGATGGAGGCAAAGTCTAACAAAAATGAACCACACACAAAGCACTGAAGTGCAGTTATGGTTCAAAGCGCGAAACCGAACAACAAGAATGTGAGACTCCAATCTGTATAGCGCCAAATCTGTACAGCAGGACCATTTCAATCTTGCTTCACTACAATTGACATGAACAGGAAAAAAATGTTAGCAGAGTATGGCAGCAAACACAGAGATGGCTACCAATGCTGGCTGGTTTTTTATGCCTCCCCACAATCAGGCGAAAAGACCGGTGTGGAAAAGGCCTCAACAATACACCAAACTACCGTCTTCACCCAAATATCAGCCTTGGGCACTGGGCCCTTAAAAAAAAAAAAAAGAACGCTTGGTCATTATCGCTGCGTTGAGACTGAAAGTTGCCCCTCATGAACAGGAAAAATTCGTTGGCACAGTATGGCAGCAAATACAGAGATGGCTACCAAGGCTGGTTTTCGATGCCTCTCCACAATCAGGCAAAAACACCGGTGTGGAAAAGTCCGAAAAGGCCTCAACAATAAGCTAAACTACCGTCTTCACCCAAATAGAATGCTCGGTCACTATCGCTGCATCAAGACTGAAAGTTGCCCCAAATATGGCGAAAATGACCAGTATTCGGGTGAAGACGGCAGAGCTTCAATAGGGTGAAGCTGTCCTGAGCGGCAAGGGCTTGCAGCCTTAGGCTACTTGGCTCGCCTGGCCGTGGAGCTCGGGCAAGTCACCCGGGCGGGAGTCACATGGACGGACCCCCTGTGCAGGCCAAAATCAGCCCTTCTTTTTTTTGGATCTTCGCATGCCCAGAAGAGCCCGAATCCGCGCTCCTTTCTTTTTTCGAGCGTTGGCTGTCAAGGGTGGGGAAGAGGGGTATAAATTGGTTTCAAAGGGACTAAAGGGGTTAAAGCGGGGTGCCTTAGTCTGATTTTGTTGTTTTCTTTTTTATCTTCTAGCCCGTGAAGAATTCTGATGTGACCCTCAGCCAAAAGCCGTTTGCAACTTTGCATTGCAATCCTACACAAGACATTCTTTGAATTTTCTTTCCTGATTTCTTTTTAATCTTCTCCCCCCTCCCCTCTCCTCCCCTCTCCTCCCCCCCCCTCCCCCCCCCTCCTCTGGTGCTTTCAGAAACCTGCCTGGGGTTCATGCCTCGCTGGGCACCGGGCGTGTATCCGGGCACAATCGGGTGTCCAGGCACCTGTACAAACAGCCTAGATTGCAGCATGGTTACACCAGATCCAGGCTCGGACATTGTCCGCGTCCCGTCTGGATGCATACGCAGCTGAGATCAGACCGATTCGGACCAAATGGATGCGGAGAGGAACATGTTCGCATGATTGCCAGTTCCAGATGTGTCTGGACTCTGGATCTGCAAAAACTTCTGGCACTTTTATTTCTCTCTGAATTGCTAATGCATGGGTTGAGTATGCAGAGAAAGTTGGATATCGGTGATCTCGGCGGTTTGCCGCTTGGGGTGCTGTGAAAAGTTCATTGAACCTGATCATTTTAGAGCATCCAGAGAAGGTGCAGGATCCTCCGCCAACAAAACATGATAATGCTCCAGTTATACTTCAAACTTTCAAAGAGTGTTCGACTACTAGTAAAGGAAAGGGAGGAGGAGGAGGACAACCCGCAAAGCCTTTCCGACTTTAAATTTGAGAAGATTCCCGAAAAAAAAGAAAAAAAAAAAAGAAAAGCTGTCAAAGACTTAGCCTTCTGCCAAAAACTCAGAGATGTGGAACAAACGCAGCAAGAGGACAGTAGACGGGAAGGAAGGAGGGTATCACAGCAAGAAAGCAGTTATTCACCAGTGCCGATTGCGAGTGCGGCGGCACTCTTAGGGCACACTCACACACTTTTTCCACAAAGCTCTGGACGTGATTGCAGTCGGATTCATCCAGATGTGGGGCCGGATTTGCAGCCTGATAGATTCGGGAGAGTGCTAGTGTTGAGTATGCCCTTAGGCAAACATTGAAAGGTGCAAGGTACAGTGTTTTTCTGGACGGATCTGCAGGCGCTGAAGAACACTCCTGTCCGCTTTCCTGGGTGTCTTGGACCCCAAGAGGACGACGGATTGGCAGAGGCCCTGAAGC